AGGGGGACTGGGCAAAGTGCCGAGGTGGGTTGGGGCGGGGGGGGGGAGAGGGGGGCAAAGTGTTCCGTTGGGAAGTGGAAAAGGGGTTGGAAATACTGTAGTTTCGGGGAGCCATGCAGGTGGTGGGCGGGTGGTGTGGAGCGAAAGCAGGACGGTGGGAGGGTAGATCGCACCAATTGCGCTTCGCGAAAGCCGCCCCGGCCGGCTCTCGTCGCTGCCTTGCACGGCTGGACACCGCGGCCGCGCTCCGGGAATGCCACGCTCATTGCTGCAACAACGCACCATCGCCAGCCCCACCGTTGCCGCCTTTTTGGCACCTCTACAACAATGACCTACCCCGATAAACGTCACGTCACGCCCCTGCTTTTTCCCGTTACATTTCGCATTTAAAACCTTTCCACCCCTGTCCCTACCCCCTTGTTTTTTCACTTCACGACAACAAGTCCCCAACCTCTAAACTGCCGACAACACTTGAACAACCACATTGCATTGTTCTTTCAACTTTTGTTTACAACGTCATCGTCCATGACTATTGCCTTCTCGTTCTCTCATTCCCGATCGGGCAAACTTTTCTCCTTCTCCCCATCTTGGCTTTACTCCATCCCATCTCACCTTCGGTCGAACATACCCAACCTCTGTGTCAACTTCTTTCGGATGCAATGAAGTAACAATAGTTGTCCCTTGCATTGCTCATCATTCTGTTACGTCGGCCCTGCACTTCACTTGCTTTCTTCTTCACTCTACCGACTGCCTCCTCTTTCTTTCCTTAAATTCACTCTAAATTCCACAGCCATCACACCGTAGACTTACCCAAAACTCAGGCTCGCACTCCCACTCTGCTAACAATATTGGTGCTGTAGGACAATTTGCCTTTGTCCTTCCTGCTAGATGTGGAGGCGTCTGTCTCTTGTGACATCCCACTGTGATCTCACCCACTCCCATGCTTCCACCTTGTCACCCACGCGTCTCTCGTGGATCTCAAGTGTTTTCTCACTCTGAGACACGCTCCCTTTCATATAAATAACCTTTCGTAACAAGCTACGCTCCAGATACTGCCCGAACCAAAATACCTCTCACCCTGCACGCACAGTAAATCGTATGACCGACAACATACGCCTCATTTCATTCATTCAGGACAGCCCCATCGTCCTCGTTCGATCCTCTAACACGCTTGCCACACCTCTCATACAGCAGTACAGTAATACGTCAGTGCTGAATGAAAGATTTGATGGACTCAAACGTCAAAGAATCACAATTATACGAACAGGACACCAAATACAGCACCACTCACCCCTCGACTGTGACTTTCATACTACAGGGTACTGCACATCCAAACGTACTTATTAAAAACGAGACTACCTGCTTTCCATGTGCGCTGCTCCGTCATTTTTACTTCATTCCACAGGATTGAAACATCACGTGAAACGATAGTATTTCATCAAACTGCGGACTCAATGCAATTCATGCATTGCTGCTATCTACAGTATGTGAGCAAGAAAACTAACCATGCCACCTTCTCCTATTCCTCCTCCTCGCGTCCTGTCCACTCCATATCAATTTGGTCGAGGAAGAATGCGCTGCTAAACACGGACGCTAAGGCTTTGCCAACCAAAAATGAGTGCCATTGGACCTTTCCACTAGACTTCCATTTTTTTCATTTACCATGCCCCGCCGAGGAGAGCGGCTTTGTCATTGAAACAGCTCAATCAGTTTATTCCAGAAACCGTAAACAACGATAAATATTGATAAAAAAGGCGTCGACAGTACAGTACCCGTATCTAAACAAGGTAGCTGTCATTGGTTGTTTTGAACTCAGTAGTCATAATGGCAGATACTTATTTGCTGATACTGTAGCATCCATCATATGTCAGATGCATATCTTTTGGGATATATCATACCTCATACAAATTCTCCGTCACAGCAATGAAAACTCAGCTCGTTCTACAGAATACCCTGCCAGCAGGGTATTCAAGTGGCACCACTTGATGTCAACGTTTTCAACAGCACCAAAGCAACACTACACTGCAGCATGGCGTTCTTTAATTGGTTGTTTGAACCCAGTGTGCATAATGCTAGACACTAATTTGCTGATAACATCCATCATGGCAAAGTCCGATGCCTGTGTATGGCTGTTGTATCACATCATACAAAACACAGTGCTATGCACTACTGTAGTATCCTACTGTTGCAGTAAGGTACTGTACCTATCAAAATCTGCCATTACAGTGTACATTACAGTACTACTAGAGTATACAGTAGTAGTACTAGAGTACCTCCGTAGGATACTACTGTAATGCCGCGGAACGGCACGTGGCAACGTGTACAACCGGACTGCGATCCGGAAGGGGGATGCGCGCGACCATGATAGGGAACCGAAACGCGAGTCCGACGGAAGAGGCGGACGTGGGGGTGTAGTCGACGCCACCGGAGCGTGGCGAAAGGAAAGGGGAGAAAGGGTGTTGTCAGGCGGGGCAGAGGGGGACAGGGACGAAGGAGGGGTAGGCGGGGGAGACAGGGAAAGAGAGCTTCTCTTACTCTCTCTTAAGAGCATCTCTTAGGCAGGAGAGAATACTTTAGGGCCACTCCCCAGAGGATAGGGCACGGGAAGGCAGCGAACAGTCGGGAAATAAAGAATTTGGGTGGATGCCCTCATTGAGCTGGTCGCGGGTGCTGCAACAGTACTATGCTGTAAGCACATTATATTCAATACAGTGTGAAAAACAGATTACAGTAGCCCGCCTGAAACAAAGGATTGGACCACCTGTCATCATCGTCGCGACCAACTGCTTCGTTTTTCTTCTAATCCGCCATGTTTTTGAGTGGTGCAGTGCAATCACGTCGTACAAATAGTTTCAGGAGGCGCCCATTATTGGGCGCCTCCTGAAACCCCGAATACGCAATACGTGGTCCTGAACGCCACCGGAAATTCAAAATGTGGAAAAGTCCTGCGTGCACCGTACGGTAACCGGTTACCTTGCCACTGAATTCGATAACCATGAATGCCTAGTGTGTCACCTCGCAGGATACTCATATCTGAACCGTACACCGCTTTGCGTAGTACTGACAGTACTACGCAAAGCGGTGTGGTATGGATATCAATATCCATACCCATATTGATGGCTGGCGGCTCTTTGTAATTATAGTGTCGCAGGTGAAGGGGGGGAAGATGAAGGATGTGGACATGTCCCGCAGCTTGTACGATGTGTCCCGTTTGTGTCGCAGGTGAAGAGGGGCAAGATGAAGACCCGAGATGGGTCAGATGAAGGATGTGGACATGTTCCACGGCTTTTATACGATGCGTCCCGTTTGCGGTTCTGCGCAAATACAGCACCCTACTGTAATTACATCTTCGGTGTAGTGATTATTGTGTCATTATGGTAACTGTTTGTTATAAATAGAGGCGAGATGGCATATCACGAGCAGGATTTGGTCATTGGTTTGCTGGCCTCGCGCGGGGCATGCGCCCCCAAGGTGCGCCCCCGACAGTGTCCCCCCACACTGTCGGGTCTTAGCTCTGTTGTAAATAGACAGTGTGGGGAAGGTCTTAGCTCTGTTGTACACACAGTGTGGGGAGGGGGCAGGCAGATAAATAGTCTTCTGCTATAGGTGAGTCCGGACGACGGTTATAAAAGCTTTGGCATTTCACAGCAATGTGGCCAAATTTTAAATCCAAAACTGTATTGGTATCAAAAGAAACCCCAGATACAACGTAGTCTCACTTGTGCTTCAAACGGCCCAGTTCAGGCTGTGTCATAATGGCGAATCCTCCGGCTGTACAAGTACTGCAATTAATATATCACGCTGTAGCACGAATTGATTGTGGTGTACAGTACCAACAAACACAAAACCAGTCAAATTTTCAGTCTTTTTTGGGCTTCCAACGTCCAGAGGTTTGTTTCGTGCAGTCTTCCGTTGTTGCGTCGCATCTTTTTCTTGTTGTCAACAATTTACATATGTATGACTGTATACAGCCGACGGGCGTACAGTCACTGACTTCAGTACTGTACGCCTAATAGGCACCTCGCAAAGAAAAATGAAAAAGGCACCTGGATAAGTGTTGTGGAAAGAGACGCCTTGTTGCCGTTGTCCAAATAGTCACGTTACAGAGGCATAGCCAATACTGCCGGAGTGGATGTTTAGAGAAATGTCGACGTAGCAATATGAACGGGGATATCATTTTCTATTCTTGATTCGAGATTTTTCTATTAAGATGTGACCATGTAAAGGGGGGTTGCTGGTGTTGTCGGACAGTGACAAAAAAATCGGACATGCAAAATATTTTGAAAAATATCTCCGACACGGGCCAAGGAGCACCGCCGCGCGTAACGGCGCCAGATAGTGCGCCGTATATCAGAACGACGTGGTTGAAATTAAAGAAAAAATATCTCAATCGATTGCTTACGGCTTTCTACGTATAAGTGTGCAACAACCCAAAAATACAAAATAGGCGGACTTTTCTATTTTTTATTTATTTGCTTGGATGTCCGATCTTAGTGCTCGGTTGAGGTGCAAAAGTGTCCGCGCGCTTCAATCTCACTCCTCTTCTGTGTCCGTGGTTGTTTTCGCCAAGTCCCAGTGGACGACAGGCTGAGAGTGTCCCCGTCGCAAAACATAAAAAATGGTGATTGCTTGACAATTACAAGTACTTTTTCCTTTTAATATTGAGGTTTTTGTCCGACGTCTCCAGCACCCCCCCTTTACAGTATGATAACGAAAAAAGCACACTCTTGTGCTGTAATTATATACTCCGAAACAGAAGTTTACATTATTTTTCGGGCATTTCCAATTCGAAAATATATTCTCAAGTAATCCGAAAAGAATTATTTTTTGTGCAGATAGAACGATGCCTCCCTTTACTCTCAGGATTTCCTGCCCTACACTAGCATAAGATCAGTGGCTTCATTCCGTCGTCCATGAGCCACTCTGTGTGTATGTTGGGCTACCGTACGTGTGTACGTGTATGGCTATCATCACATTTTTCAATCTTTCTTGCGCCTCCCGAGCTGGAAGTAGGGAAAATATTCTTGTACAGTATAGAGGTTATTTACGTAGAGATATCACCCTCAATGACATGTCAGGACCTCAATGAACGTTATTTCACGCACGTACTTGGAACGTCTTCGAGAGGTGTTGGTGTGACTGCCAGCAGTGGCCCAACTTGTCTTTTCGAGCTGTGTTGACACAGCTACTGTACGAAAAGACAAGTTGGGTGGTGTTGACATCAACAATAGCTGGAGCAGGTCACCGTCGTCGAGAACGATTAAAGACATGTTCTTAAAATATCCTATCACGCTCAGATAAATTTCTAGACAGCGGTACTCGATTCCACGTATTGGATTAGAGTCTCGACAGTGTTCGCCAAGAGGCCCGTTGAGGAAAAGGTAATTGATAATTGCGCGTACAAATTAGAAGTATAGTAATGCTTGCAAGTTGCCTACACATAGGGGACACAGTACAGTATCACAGACTTGACCAATCAGGGCCATGTCAAGTCTAAGGACAGGTGTCATTTTCGTTCCCCCTTGTGCGCGAAAGACGTCGAGATCACTCTACGGGCGGAGCTGCACACTGCTTGCCCTACCCTTACCTTTGACTCACCGCGTGCCGTCCATACATCACCACCGACTGCTGTTTTCTTCAATCCTACTCTGCAACACCACCGGAAAATTCTCAGAAAGGAGCGCATACCATGGTTAAGCCTGGCTTTGTGTTGAGCAGCGGCTCATTGACGTCATGGAAGAGCTCATCCTTTAACGGTAGCGCAAGTGAAGTGTCATCGCTCTCCACCTCACGCAGACCATTGTGCGCTATGCAGACGAAGCCCCGTGCGAACCAAGCGGCGCGATTTCCATCGATGCAACTCGGTTCGCCGTCGACTCAAATTGGGCGTCCGAAGACGTCGATCAAAAAGTCGGTCGGGGTCACGAACGACGCACCGGCGGCGCCGGAGACCGATACGGGCAAGGGCGCGGCCAAGGCTAGGCCGCGGCGGAAGACGCAAGCAGACGAAGTGCCGATGTACAAGGTGATCCTGCTGGGCGAGGAAGAGTATGTGGAGGCGCATGTCGTGACGCAGCTGCAGAAAACGGTCGGGATAGATAAGAAGGAGGCCACGCGCAAGTTCCAAGAGGCACAGCAGTCCGGCTCCTCGGTGGTTTGCGTCGTGTGCGAGGAGCACGCAGAATTTTACGCGCAGCAACTGAAGAGACAGGACATTTTTGTCACGGTCGAGAAGGATGAGTGATCGCGTTTTGGCGCGGCGCGGGCGACCTAACTTTTTTATACTTAAATTGCGGATGGTTTTTTAGAATGCTGAGTGCGGCGTAGGGCGTCTCGTGGCAAGTGGTTGAGTAAAATCAAACGGATTGCGCATATCGACGGCACCTTGCAGATACTTGAAAGGGGTATCTATGTGACGGGTAGTCAGATTGCCTCGGGCGAGACGAGAAGATTGCGCCAGATTGCACGCATACTCTAGGAAGTCGGCGTCGACAAAGCTGACGAGGGTTCTCTTTCCCAAGCTTTTTTTGTCCCGCCATGCGATCCTGCTTGCGCGTTGACAATTGCGTTGACTATGGCGTGCATTGTCGTTGTTGGGATCAATCGGACAAAGTGCAGCTCAACGCGTATTTACAGTCAATTGCATCTTTGTAGGACGGCGGAACACAGTGTGTTCCTGGTACTGTAAAGCACATGGGTGTGTTGAACATACCCATGTGCTTTACAGTACCAGGCCTGTGAGAGATCCGATGGCGACCTCTCTCGCCTGCGCCGCCGTCTCGATCCAATTCATACCCGCCGTCGAATTATGATCACAGTGCACTATGTCACCACGACTTCCTTATCACTCGTATCTATATTGATGCGTCGGTCGCACGGCCTTCCTTCCGCTTGATCGGCATCCGGCGGTCGTCCGGCGACATCTTCCTGTAAGACTGGTCACGTAGCCGGCAGCATACCCGATGAGCTCGAGGTACGGTACGATGTATTGCCCCACCTTTCGGATATTGCCAGAATAACAAGTAAGTCATCCGCTTCTCACAACACCAGCCTTGCAGCCCCGCAGACTCTGCGGCAGGGCCTGCAGGGAGTGGCAATTAACGGAATGAAGATTTGTAATCAAACCATAGAACCTGAAGAAACCCTCGCGGTTCGCTGTCGAGAAAAACTCAAGTTTCAGCCTTGTCCGACCACACGCCATTCCCTGTTCATGCTCTTTGCCTTTTCTATTTGCTTGTGAATATGACATCTAACGTTTTTGTTCATATCCATCGTTAATGCAACAGTGCTTTCGCTTTTACACACGTTTCTTGTCTGGGGCAAGACCTTTATCGTGGGTATGTTGCTTGGCAGTCTGACTGAATCGGAGTGCATGATGACTTTTAACTAATGTCACGACTCACCGACGCCTTCTAAAGGGCTTCGCTCAGTGTCGATTTTTGTTCATTTCTGAGCATTCCGTCAACGATGCTTGTCGGCATTGCCGCGTTGTTCACCACCTGGGATCGATGAAAACTAACAGTTTTCCTTACTCTTTTCGCATCATTTCCGAATTCAGACTTGCCCGCCAGCTTTCTTTCCTGCTGCACTTTAAATAGCGCAGCCGCCATGGCGATGCTAGCATCGAAACAGGTCATGTTTATTGCACATCTAAGTTATTCATCTGCCACACCCACGACGTCTGTCAAATCAATTGCAAGTTCATTCAACCGGGGCAACCCATACGTCGTGCCATACGTAGCCATAGATAACATGCCCTTGGAGTTAAAGCCAGCCCTGGCATCATACGAGCGGACCCAAACCGTCCCGAGCTTCAAATCTGCCGGACTCTCAATCACCCCGTCATCCACCAAGCCCCCCACCACCTCATTCAACTTCTTGTCCACAACCTCGCGACTCGCAAACCCGCGGAACCTATGCGTCGCCCACACGCGCACTCCCACGTCCTCCACCCACGCATTCTCCGCCTCCGGCTCCTTAACTTTGACGGGACTACTCCCCACAAGCGTACCCGGCACGGCGACGGCCCACTCAAACTCGTCCTCGCCCACCTTGCGCAAACCGATCGGTGTAACAGTGGAGTATTGCTCTTTTCGCCTCAAGCCGCCCTCGAACACGCAGTCCGGCAGCACCGGGACGGCCCAAATCCTGTCGCGATCGCCCGGCATCAGCGTGTCTCTGGCGCGGACCTCCCTGTGCGGTGCGTGGCGCACGAGCGTGTAGCGGCGCGCGTTGCGCAGTACGCGGCGGCGCCCGGCATCGTTCTCCGGGTGCGGCGTCGGCCACAGCCAGATGATGTCCGTGAGCGTGGGCAGAGCCTGGGCGAGGACGGCGATGGGCGGCATATACCACTCGTCGTCGATGCGCGTGATGAGGCCGTCGGAAAAGGCCGCGCGTGACGTGCCGGACACCGAGACGCGCGGGCGCCACGGCAGCGGGTACGTGAAGGAGAGCGCCCAATCGAAGCGCAGGGTTGCGTCGTCCGAGGTGGCAGAATGCACGTCGAGCGTCGGGTCCTCGGCGAAGAAGAAGAGCGAAGCAAAGAAGTCCACGGCCTCCTTGGCGGAGCCCAGAGTGAGCAGGGGCGTGTCCCAGACGGCGGTGGGCGCGAACAGCGGTGTGAGCTGGGCGGCTTCGGGGGAGCCTTCGGAGAAAATGGTGTAGAGGGCGCGGAGAAGGGGGTGGGGGAGGACGTGCGGGGGGAGCGGAGGGTCGGTGGCGGGAGGGGGGGTGGGCTCGCTGGTAGGCTGGCCGCGCACGAGGTCCGGGGAGGAGGTCATACGGGGACGCAGGCGGCGGCGGCAGGGGCGGCGGCAGGGGCGGCGGCGGCAGGGTGCATGGCAGGAGAGGGGGGAGCAGGGGCGGTAGCGGAGAGGGAGAGGAGATGAGGTGAAGGCAGGGGCGGGCATCTTGGAGACGGGTGCGGAGGTTGTAGAGGCGGAGGGGGTTGGTGGAGAGGTGCGAGGGGGAATTGAGGTTAGTACAGATTTGGCGAAGAAGGTCGGTGTTCTCGGGCTGCCGTATTGCTGCCGACCTCCGCAAGAGGAGAGGAGCTCAGCTTTTGAAAGGACACTTGTCCAGCGTCCATTCGATCGGGCCATCCGCCATCACGCGTACCATTCGTCACGACCGATATGCATCGCGCCAGTCGCAGTCGGCAGCATGTTTCTGTCAGCCAATAAAATCGCGTCGTGCGGGCTCGCGAAGTGGACCCGCAATTCTGGACCCGGCGCACTCTTTCTGATTCCCCCGTGACGTCACCGCGGCTTCGTCGGCCAGCCGACTCTCTCCCCCTTCACCCCACCATGCTGCCCCCTCGCTACTTCGCGGGCCGCGCGCCGGCGCCGCATGCAGACTCTTCCAGCGACGAAGAAGAGGAAGCCGCCGCGAAGCCTGCGCAGCCGCCCGCGCCTCGCAAGCGCCCGCGCTTCGTCGCTCGCGTCTTGTCGCGCCCGCCGCCAGTCGCGCCCGCGCCAGTCGCGCGCCGGCGCGCCCCGACTGCCGCTTTCGTGCCCGTGGGCTCTGGGGGAGGCCGAAGCGCAGAGCAGGAAGAGGAGGAGGAGGAGTCTTCCGAGGAGGAGAGCAGCTCCGCGAGCGACGACTCGTCGTCGGGGAGCGACAGCGCCTCCGACGAGCGGGGGAGAAGCGCGCCGGAGGAAGAGGAGGACGAGGAGGATGATGTAGCGGTGCCGCGGCCATTGTTTGTGCCGAGGCATCTTCGGACGAGCCAGGCGGCGTTGGATGTGGAGGGCGCGCGGATGGCGGCAGCCCGGGCGGCGGAGGACAAAGCGGCGCGACGGCGCGAGGCGCAGCGGCTGGTCGCGCACATCTTGGCGGAGGAGGAGAACGTGCGAGACGCGTGGGCGAGCGTCACGAACGACGAGCTGCCGGATGATGAGGACCGCGAGGAGGACCACGAGATGGAGGTCGCGCTGTGGAGGCTGCGCGAGGTGCTTCGCGTGAAGAGGGATCGGGAGGAGAGGGCGGAATGGGAGAGGAAGCGCAGTGGGGAGGTTGTCGAGCCCAGGAAAGAGAGGGGGGAGGGGGAGGGGCGCGCGGAGACGAACGAAGCAGGGGAGGGGCAGTCGACGGCTAAGCCGGCATTTTTGCAGAAGCATTACAAGACGGGGCCTTTCTTTTTGGAAACCAACGAAGATGGGACTTACAAGGAGGAAATTTATAATAGGGATTATAATCGGGGGACAGAGCAGGATCAAGTGCGCAGGTTAGGGCTTCCGGGCCCGATGCAGGTGCGAAGGGGGGAGTTCGGGAAGGCAAGCAGGTCGAAATATACGCATCTAGCGGCGGAGGATACTGCAGCGGGGATGGCGAGGGAACTGAGGCAGGATAGGGAGCTTGCAGATGTGTTGCGGCGGAACGAGCACAGGAAGACGTGATGCTGCGATTTGGCTTTCTGAGGGCATCGTTCTATTGCACCTTGGTTTTCGGGTCAACGTCACGTCAAAGAAGAGCCTGTACTCGTGGGCTTGGCACATCGGCAGCAACAGGAAACTGTCAGATTCGAAAAGGATGACCGCGAGGTAACTTCATTTCACCTACTGACTACTCACGTGGTTGCAAGCTGCATACAATATGAATATGGATACTTTTAAAAAAGGCCGATCACCTTGTCCGTGACGGTTTCAATGGACTGGGTGGCGTCAATGCGATGGACCTTGCCCTTGGCCTCGTAGTACTGAATGACGGGCATCGAGGTTTCGACAAAGGTGCGGAAGCGCTTTTTGATGCTTGCAATATTATCATCCGTACGGCCCGAAGTCTTGCCGCGTTCCAAAAGACGGCGCTCCATCTCCTCTTCTGGGCAATCGAAGAACAAGACAAATTCAAAATCGGAGACATCCTTCTCAAACGCGCCCGCTTGGTCGAGCTTGCGCGGAAAGCCGTCGATAAGCACGCCCGGCGCCGTGGTGCCCTCGATGGCACTCTTGAGCAATGCAATGGTAATCTCACCCGGGACGATCTTGCCCTCCTTGATCATGTCATCGATCATGACACCCTGTTCCGAGCCGGACTTGACCTCTGCACGAAGCAAGTCCCCGGCCGAAAAATGAACGAAGCCGTACTTCTCGACAAGTTTTGCGCACTGCGTGCCCTTACCCGACCCGGGTCCTCCGAGGACGAAGAAGATGCGATGAGCGGGGCTGGCGGGGACGCTCTTCGGCGCGGCGAGCTGGACTCCAGCGTCGCGCAGCAACGAGTGCCCCAGCCACTCGACAGGGTTGGGGGGGTTGAGCCTGCACATCTCGGTTAGTGCCTTTGTGATGAGCGGGCACACGGTCTTGGTGAGGTACTCCTTGGCGTCGGCGGCCTTGTACTGGTCCGGGGAGGAGTACTCCGGGAAAAAGAAGGCGATCTCCTTTGCGGCGGACTGCGGGCTATCGGAGCCGTGGGTGGCGTTTCGCGAGCCGTCGGTGCCGAAGCGTGCGCGCAGCGAGTCGGGCTCGGCCACACGCGCCTTGGCCGAGTCGGTCGGGCCCATGAGCGCGCGCCAGGCCGGGATGGCCGCGTCCTTGCGCAGCACCAGAGCAAGCAAGGGGCCGGACGACATGAAGGTGGTCAGCTCGTCGTAGAACGGGCGGTCCTTGTGCTCCAGGTAGAACTCGGCCGCGCGCTGCTTCGTCAGCGTCTGCGTGGCGCGCTCCGCGATGACGAAGCCGTGGGTCTTTATGACTGACAGGATCGCCTCCTGCTTCGGGTACGCGTCGGGCTTGATGAGCGCAAGCGTGGACTCGATTTGCAGGCCGACCATTTTGGAGATGGGGGAGGGATGGGGGGGCAATGGGGGGGGGGGATGGAGAGGGATGGTGGGGGTGGAGGAGATGGAGGAGGGACGTTGATAGAGGTACTGTACAGTAGCGCATCAACTTGATAGAGCAGCAGCACAGCGGTAGTGTCAGCGGACACTGCCTGTGAGAGAGTCCGCTTCATGAGAATTCTAGGTTTGGCAGAAAAGCACCGGTGACAAAACAGGCTGTTGCACCGTGATCAGTTTGTCACGGTGGGTATGTATGCTGCATTTTTTCTGGATAAACGGGAATGAAAGGCTATTTCTCCCCATCAAATTTTATTGGTTGCAAGAAGTGGAATGTATTACTCTGTTCCAGCATGGGGTGATTATGCATTCCACTATCTCTGTAATGTGTCCCTTTCCACAATTTATTTTCCCGAAACTGTTTGTATTTCTTACGAAGTCTTGGCTTTGTCTGCAACTTGTGGAGAAGGTAAGACAGGTGTCCCGGAGAAACTTGCGAAACTACTGGAATTCGTACTAATTCTTCACATAGCCAACCTTTCCGGAGCGTTCGATCCCGATCCAGACGAGGCCCTATAAAATCCCATTGATGAGTTGCACCGCCCTTCTATCTAGCTGCCGAGACAGATCCAGGGATTTCATCCAGTGCTTCGAATCCCAGGATTTCACCCGGTGACAAGAATCGCAATTCTCTCTTCTTCGTTGGCGGCTTTCTCAAGCCCTGACACTAATACTCCTAGGAGTATTAGTGAGATAGGACTACGTTTCTGTGTATCAACACGGGGATCCGGGGCACCGAGTACAGAAGCTGCACTGGAATGCATGTGCAGGTGCACTATTTCTCTATTCATTGAGCATGTCCACAGTGATCCCAAAATGCTAAGTTTTTGTTCCCTATTGCTCTCCCCAGCGAATTTGCGCCGTCCATTCTCTTATATTATTCTTAACAATGTTACGCAACACTGATCCTTCAGTTTGAAGTTTTGAAAATCGCTTTATGCCTCATCATTACGCCCCCTTTATCGCCCATTCATTGCCTTATCTGCAATTATCCTATGATTTCGGTACGATGAAACCAATCGTCAAAGACATTCAACAGTTCTATGCGTTTCTGACGACTTTCTATACATCATTTCTCTCCGCATACTTTTCAATGTCAGCGCCGGAGCAAGGTGGTTCTTCGAGTTCAGATCGTTCTAACACCGAAGCACAGGTAGTTCCTGTTCCAGACGTTCTCCCTCGAGATATATGTCGCCCAGTTGTGCGACGAGATGGCCGTGGTCGTTTCTCAATTCGATCTTCACAGTCCCGGCAGAGAGTACGGCGAGCCCAACAGCAAAGAGATTACATTCGTCAAAGAGAAATTTTGAAGAAGCGACTTTATGAGGATTATCTGCACGCATTTTGTCTCCGAGGTAACAGCAGCGATCATATCTCTACTTCAAGGTTAACAGGACCGCTCGTTGTAATATTTGAACGTCTTTTACAAAAGCCATATCGCCTCGGAAGAACTGAGCGATGCATGAAAATGTGCTCTTTCTACATGGAAGGGGGACACTTGCGTCACAATAATATTTCTAGTCAGGACCAAGGTCTTTTTACAGCCCCATATCCGACCCTTGCAAAGAGATCAAAGAAATACCGTGGCTGCCACCTGCCCTCTGTCACTAAACCTATGACTGCAATGGCGAATGTCAGTGAGTGGATCAAATCTGCGTGGTCTGTGAACGCTCTTACAACGGATACTGAAATGGAGGCATACGAAATATGCAAGAGTATTATGGACACCTACAATCCTGTGGTCAGGGCCACATACAGGTCACGTCGGAGAGTCATTCAAGATCTTCTGAACCTGAAACAGAGACGCCACGGGGCGACTTATGTGCGAACTGTAGCATTTCGCTTTCGGACCGCTCCAGAACTATCCGTGCAGAACCCAGTCGCTCACCTCAAGAAGTCAATGATGAGCAACGTGAAGTTGAGCAGACTTCCCTTCCAAATAATGGCACGGATGCTGCTGCCAGAATTGTGGATCCGAACGACGCTTCAGAAACTCACTTGAGTTTCTGTGCCCAGACTCTGCGTGAGCAGCTGAAGCTGCTCACGCAGAGTCTGGGCACGGATCGGAGCATGACTATACTCAAAAAAGAAAACTGGAACGAATGATTGAACTGGCCCTCAACGATGATAACTTCTTGATAGTGTGCTCTCTATTTGACGAGCAGCCGGATATTGAATTCGGCATGTATGCTGGAGTTTACTTAGACCAGTGCCGTCGTGAAAAATTACAGCAACCGCTTTCATGAAGGAAGTGCTCACTTACTCTCACTGGAAGAAATTCGGTATTGTCAACAGAAGATAGCATGAGGAACGCGAACAGAGATTGCGATCGACCATGCATACTATTGAAGCAATTCGGGCTGTCCATGGCAAGAAATCGTATCAAGAGATGCGCTGGAACTTTCCTTGAGACAGATATCCTTAGCAGTCTACTTTCCCGTTTGCAAATCTTGCTCTTTTCATTTCCGTTCTCTTCGAAGCCCGGTATCCTTCCCAAATCGGTCCATTTCACTTACATGACTACAAGTACCTGCCAGAAAATAAAAGCGAGTCTTTTTGCTTTTAATTATATCGCAGCACTTGCGTCTTTAGACATGACGATTGTCGCCCCTACCAGGAAGCATCTCATTCGACGATTTTTCGAGTTGGTCGATTGCCGCTAGCTATTGCAATCGAGCGAACCAATGTTACCAAGAGGCAGACGACTGCTATTGGTGGTGCGGTGGGCGGGGGGGATTTTCCCCTATCGTTCTCCAGTGGCTTGTTTTCAAGGGAGAGCATGTTCCAAACGTTGCCTCCGCAGTTGTTTTTGCGCTTCCGAGCAGTAGATAGTTTCTCACTGTCGATCGGGAACGTGTACCATATTCCTCTTTCGGGGCGAGAATTGAAGACCTAAAAAATGTGTTCAAGAGTAGAGTGGTCTAGATTTGCCTGACACCGGAAGCATTGGTCTTGGAACACAAGGGAGATCAAACCTCAAACCGCCCATGACCAAACGAGATTCGATTTCGTCCTTAAGTTCCATAGCGATGGATAGATCCCGAAGGACCTTTCTCGATGAGACTTTGGCACCTTGATCCGAAGGCCCCCAAAAGACGCTCTCTTTTATAAAAGATTATATAATAGGGACTATAGTCCCTGTTTATACTTTGTGTCACTCAGAAAATTAATTCATGGCTTTTGGCTCAGTTCCAGACGTCGAAGAAAACTAAACCTTGTGGAAGGGTAGGAGAAATCAGAAAAGGGGGCGAAGACCATATGTGTCGAATATATCGCGCCCTTGCTGTAGTGTATCGGCTAAGCGGTCGAGTTGTTGTCGTAGAACTAAGAGCTGATCAAGAGCGACGCATTGAGAAAAAAGATGCAGAAGGAGAACTTCAGTTCGTTGTGGCATTGGTACCAGCAGATCAAGTAGAAATAATGATAACACTGCGGCGCCTGCTTGCAATAGAAGCGCGACAAGAGAAATGTCACGATGCATCCGTGCATCACATGCAGAACGTTGGTCAATCCGGTGGTACGACGAGAAGGAATCAACCCACTTGATCTCTTCACAGGAGCGATCGAATTTCGGGGACTACATAATGGTTGATGACAAAATGACAAGAATATCGCTAAGCTTTGGGCTGATTTTCTGTTCTGCTTGTGACTTCATGTGATACAACCCAGTATTGCGCATGGCGATGCCCCAGAAACGTTGTGCCCCGCCGATGAATGAACAGCCCCAGTGAAGGCCCTGACGGCTGTGGACCGTGCCGTTGAATTACACACGAGAGAAACATTAAACACTTTAAAAGCATGTGCACTGCGCCAAGAAGAGCGCGTTGAGGTACTCGTTGCGTTGTGTACATCTCTGAGAGAGCACGAAAGGCCCTTCTCCTGATAAAAATTTCGAACAAACGAAACTCTTTCAATAGAGATGCTGGCTCTGTTTCACATAACATGGGGGCCAGTTACGACCGATATTCTTTGTTTCCGAACTTGAAACGGGTGGGGAACAGCGGAAAGGAACGGCCAAGTGAACCAGACGAGCTCATTATAAAGGTTGTGCACGACTGCCAAGAGTCGGAAACCGTACTTCGACCGGGGTCAGAGCTATTGGCTGAAGAAGTAGAAGAACTTGTCGATATGGTGGTAAGAGAACTCTCAGAGGCGTGCTGCAATAAAGGAAATGAGGGACCAGAGGAGAAGGCGTGTCGCACAGAAGCGGAAGAAACAGTGCTTGCCCATGTTCTAGTCCTCGCAATGCTCACGCAAGCATTGCCCAGGCGAGAACATCCGTTCAAAAGCATACTTGCTTTGACGATTCCTGCCAGGAATGGTGAGAGATACAGTAGTATGCTCGAGAAGCCAAATGCGTTCGACCGTTTACGAGCACTCTTTGGGACCTGTATTCTACATCGACCAGACCAGTCATACTATTCGTACACACTCTTTCAAGCCCTGTAAACGACCGAGAACAAGGGCTTAGGACTGCATGAGGAACTGACGTTCTTGTTAGGAACTCATGGACGACATGAAGCTGGCGCATACGAATTATCAGCGGAACAAAATCTTGCGCCGGACGGGGCACTCGCAAGAGTGACTCGTATGCTTTCCGTTCTAGATAAACTGTCGTCGTACGATTATTCGGTAACGGCAGACTTGCGCGTGTCTTGTAAGGAACAAGAAATGAGAATTGAGGATGCTAGTAAGGCACTTCCATGCGGTGGTGGCAGTCTTGAAAGTGAAAAACTATTGCGGGGCGGGCGCTATTGTGATAATTGCTCGACAATTTCCGTGATGTGTCCGTCTCGTCAAGCAGCACTTGAGTCAGGGAACTAAAGGCTTCGTCTTGCCGACATATTCCGAGCTTCTCCAAAGAGCGATGTCCGCCGATTACGGGAAGAGGTGCTTACAAGACCGCGTAAATTTGTGCTCATGGGCCATGACCGAGC